GGTTTTTGGTATGGGAGTTTATGTACAGAATCCGCATTATATTGACAGATGACGAGGGTTTAAGGCCCCATTAGGCCCATAAGTGTAATAGTTCTGTAATTTATGAGACATATGTCTGTTCGTTCTTCTATGGTTTTGGCTGCAGCGAGCTTGTCACGGAGTTCCCGCACTTTTTTGAGTATTCTCATGCGAGCAGTACCAGGATAGATGCCCGGCGCCTGCACATTTTAATGATATATTTCAAGAAATATTACATGACTCATATAATTGATATCTTCAAGACATCTTGAGATATGCGTTTCCGTGGTGTTGTGGTTATCACATCCGCCTAACAAGTACACCCTATGCAGTGTTTCTCTCACTTCCAAGCTAAACATACTGTAACGTGCAAGTGCGCTCCACGTTGCAACTATGTTTCCAAAATTCGGGGAGACCGCAGCGAACCGCGAAAGAAGACTATTCGATATGAGGGAAGATGAAATACCCATGGAAAAAATGGATACAGAACCTACAGAGAAGAATAAAAAACAAGAAAAAGTCCCCCTATCATCATCGTTGGAGAGCATCGTGATGGATCTCATCAGCAGTTCATTAAGACCTGCAAACAAATATTAAAAAAATATGTGCTGGTTACGTACAACCGACTCCTCAAAAAGACAATTATTCCCAAAAGTATCGAAGATCACAACACTCTTGTAAAAACACTTCAGAAAACAAAACAAAATTGTATACGTTTACGAGGGAAAATGAGAAGAACCATGCCTTTGTCATGTGGAACGTCCCAGAGGACTGGTCAGCGAAAGAAGTTTAAGAGGACCTGAAAGATAAAAACCCCTCTGCAGACAACGATTCGTGGAATAACGTCGGCGACCGGAACAGGCCCCAAGACTGGCATACAGAGAAAGCAGACAGAGTTTCGTGGAAGCACCAACCCCAAAAGTCAACATATGGGATTTTAGGAATAAATCTCGAGCTGAGGCCCAACCAACCGCGACAATGAGACAAGTGCCGTATTCAAGGGAACGATACGAAAGTGAATTAAGTGACTTCTGGAAAGAAATACGCGAAATCGATGGGTTCAAGGAGGCCCTCAAAAAAGTGCGGGAACTCCGTGAC